TCCTGCGTGGGTGGTGCAAAAAGGCAGCTCCACTCCCCGGCGGGGGGTGTGTGTGGGTGTGCACGCAGCGTGGGTGCTGTCTCCACTGGCAGCGCTGGCCTGGCCTGCAGCCGGAGGCACGGAGTCCCTCTAGGCCCCGGCAGGAGCTCCCGCTGGGTCTGCAGCACCGGGGGAACGTGGTGGGTTTTGGTCACGGCCAGGCTGGAAGCGCAGGAGAGCCTACCCGCTTCAGTGCAGCGCAAAAGCAGGTGGGTCCCCCCCCTCCTTCTCCCAAGGGGTGTCCCCGCCTGGGAGCACCCCAGGCAGGAGGATAGCTGCCCAGGTGAATTTTCCACGAGTGACTCCCAGCAGAAGCAGGTGGGGGGAACACTTCCACCATGCTGCAAGAGCACAGGGTGCTGCAGGCATCCTGCCGGCATTCACCTTACAGGTTGGCATCATACGCTGCATTGGTGAAGATGCCCGGCGATCCTAGGTCACTGGAAGACAAATGCAAGGGTGTCAGAGTGCAGGAGTGTGAAGGGCAGGGGTTAGCACAGCCCCGTCAGCCCTGAAGCAGCCTCACACAGGCAGATCTGGGTGACAGCAGGGTGATCGCAGGGCTGTGATGGGCACAGGGCAGAGCCACCCTCCGGCAGAGCGCGACTCTCACCTGGTGGGGTTCAGGAGCTTCTTCTTCTCCTCTGATAATGGCATCGAAGTGTCCACAGGGATAGAGCAGATGATAGAAAAGAAATAACCAGTTCTATTTAGTGAAGAACATGAGAAGCTGCAGGAGCAGCATCTGAAATTGAATTTGAGTTTCACAAGCATGGGATGGAGCGGGGCGGGGTGGGGGCTGAAGCATTTTCTGGCTTCCCCTTCATAATGAAGGTGTTTTTCTGGCTCTGCCCTCCAAACCTGGATGCTGACACTTACAGCTGGACAAACTGCCAAGGACCCAGCAACTCACAGCAAATAAGTGGATTAAGACAGTCACACTGTTAAACTGTTCTGATCATCCTGCCCTTCCCTGGGATTCTGTAACCACCTTGCCTGAGAGCCCCTAGCCAAAGCAATGGTGGGCTGCGGGAGGCGTTTCTGTACCTCTGTCGCTGAGCCGCTTGGCAAGGAAGGCAATGAGCATCCCAGAGAGCACAACGCCAGCTACCACCAAAGCCGTGCCGCTGCTGTAAGCCAGGACTTGCTTTAAGAAGGCACCGTCCTCTGAAACAGATCCGCAGACCCACAGGTTAGAAAGTTGTCAGAAGGCCTTCACAGCACCCAAGCTGCTGGGGTACCTCCCACCACATCGTTCAAGATGTGCTGCAGGAGGCTGGATACCCCCAGTGCTAGAGAAGCAGGGGGTCCCACCGTACCTGCACAGACAGGGGGCTGCCTGGTCCAGTTCCCTGTGGCTGCACACCGGAGCACCTCTGCTCCCATCCGAACAAATCCCTCCTCGCAGGAAAAGGCGCATGTGGAGTTGTATGTGAAGTTCCCGTGTATGTGAGAGCAGCTCAGCTGGCCTCTGCTGGGAGGGTTCAGCACCGGGCAGCTGATGGCTGGAAATCAAGCACAGCAGTAGCGTCAATAGGACAGGACTGATGGTGATGGGATGGGGACATGTGGGCTGGGGAGCCAGGGGATGAGCTGCCATGGACGGGGCTGCTAAGGGGAAGCAGTCTGCCACAACAGAGCACTTCCAGATACATGTCTAATCACAAGATCTACCTTCACAGTGTGGGGAGTCCCCAGTCCAGGTCCCCATGGCTGTGCACACGCGTCTCTCTGGCCCCGTTAGTGCAAACCCCATCTGGCAGGAGAAGGCACATGTGGAGCCGAAGGCAAAGTCCCCATGGAGGTGGGAGCAGGCAGCCTGGCCCATCTTGGGGGCGGCCAGTGCTGAGCAGTTAATGGCTGCAAGGGTGAAGAGGCACACTTCAAGCAGGAGCCTGGGGACTGGGAGACTAAACGACTGGAACCAAGAGCCTGGGGAACATCCGAGTGTGACCCCCAAGGCCAATGACACCCTGAGATCTAGCAACAGCTCTACCTTCACAATGTCCCTGTGGCTGTGCACACGCGTCTCTCTGGCCCCATCAGTGCAAACCCCGTCTGGCAGGAGAAGGCACATGTGGAGCCGAAGGCAAAGTCCCCGTGGAGGTGGGAGCAGTTCAGCTCTCCCCGATCTGGTCCGCTAAGTACCGGGCAGGTGATGGCTGCAGGGATAGAAATACATTCCAAGCAGGGGCCTGAGGACTACAAGGCTAAACTGTTGGGATGAGAGGACCAAGACACCAGAGAACATCCTAGGGTCATCCCAACGCCTGTGACACCTTGAGCAGCAACTCTACCTTCACATCGCTGGGTATCCCCAGTCCATGTCCCTGTGGCCATGCACTCGCGGCTCTGTGGCCCTGTCAGTGCAAACCCCATCTGGCAGGAGAAGGCACACGTGGAGCCGAAGGCAAAGTCCCCGTGGAGGTGGGAGCAGTTCAGCTCTCCCCAGTCTGGTGCACTGAGCACTGGGCAGGCGATGGCTGCAGGGCAAAGAGGCAAGCTTCAGGCAGGAACCTGGAGGCTAAACTGTTGGGGTGAGAGAACCAAGACACCAGAGAACATCCCAGGGTCATCCCAAGGCCTGTGACACCTTGAGCAGCAACTCTACCTTCACAGCGTGGGGCATCCCCAGTCCACGTCCCTGTGGCCATGCACTTGCGGCTCTCCGACCCCATCAGTGCAAACCCCATCTGGCAGGAGAAGGTGCATGTGGAGCCGAAGGTGAAATCCCCATGGAGGTGGGAGCAGTTCAGCTCTCCTCGGTCTGGAGCACTGAGCACCGGGCAGGTGACGGCTACAGAGGTAGAGACACACTCCAAGCAGGAGCCTGGGGACTGCAAGGCTAAACTGCTGGGACCAAGAGGCTGGGGTGACACTAGAATGGTCCCCAAGGGCAGTGACACCCTGAGCTCTAGCAGCAGCTCTACCTTCACAGCGCGGGGCGTCCCCAGTCCAGGTCCCCATGGCCGTGCACTCGCGGCTCCTTGGCCCTGTCAGTGCAAACCCTGTCTGGCAGGAGAAGACACACATGGAGCTGAAGGCGAAGTCCCCGTGGAGGTGGGAGCAGTTCAGCTCTCCTCGGTCTGGAGCACTGAGCACCGGGCAAGTGATAGCTGCAGAAATAGAGATACATTTCAAGCAGGAGCCTGGGGACTACAAGGCTAAACTATTGGGTCCAAGAGGCTGGGGAAAACCCTAGTGTCACCCCAAGACCAGTGACACCCTGAGCTCCAGCAGCAGCTCTACCTTCACAGCGTGGAGTATCCCCAGTCCAGGTCCCCATGGCTGTGCACTCACGGCTTTCCAGCCCCATCAGCACAAACCCCGTCTGGCAGGAGAAGGAACACGTGGAGCCGAAGGCAAAGTCCCCGTGGAGGTGGGAGCAGTTCAGCTTTCCTCGATCTGGTGCGCTGAGCACTGGGCAGGTGATGGCTGCAGGGATAGAAATACATTGCAAGCGGGGGTCTGGGGACTATGATGCGAAACTTGGAATGAAAGGACCAAGACACCCAAGAACATCCCAGGGTCATCCCAAGGCCTGTGACACCTTGAGCAGCAACTCTACCTTCACATTGCGAGGAGTCCCCAGTCCAGGTCCCCATGGCCGTGCACTCGCGGCTCTCTGGCCCTGTCAGTGCAAACCCCATCTGGCAGGAGAAGGCACACGTGGAGCCGAAGGCAAAGTCCCTGTGCAGGTGGGAGCAGTTCAGCTCTCCCCAGTCTGGCGCACTGAGCACTGGGCAGGTGATGGCTGTGGAGCAAAAAGGCACGCTTCAAGCAGGAGCCTGGGGACTGGGAGACTAAACTGCTAGAACTGAGAGCCTGGGGAACATCCTAGTGTCACCCCAAGGCCAATGACACCCTGAGCTCTAGCAGCAGCTCTACCTTCACAGCGTGGGGCATCCCCAGTCCACGTCCCTGTGGCCGTGCACTCGCGGAGCTCTGACCCCATCAGTGCAAACCCCATCTGGCAGGAGAAGGCACATGTGGAGCCGAAGGCAAAGTTCCCGTGGAGGTGGGAACAGTTCAGCTCTCCTCTGTCAGGTGCGCTGAGCACTGGGCAGGTGATGGCTGCAATGGGAGAGGACGTCTTAGAGGCAGGACAGATGAAGTTAAATCTGGGGAATAGGGCTGAATCCCAATCAAACAAAACCAAATCAATGGTGATATGTCTTTGATTTGCCTTTCTCACCCAGACAAGTCTCACCTCTTTGAAAACAGTGGTAACGTAGTTGGTACAATGATTTTTCTGCCATTTGAATGATTTCCTGGGGGGGACACATTTGCTGATCTGACAGAACCATTTATCCCCTGCACTACCCCGGGCCACAGTCCCTGGGATGAAGGACCACAGCTGCTGCAGTCCTACTCCCCTCCCTCCCTGGATTGGAGCAGAGACCTGCCTCCATCTTGTCACAGCGGCAGGGTGAAGGACACCCAGATGGCTTTGGGGCTGTAGGGGACTGGGATGGGATGACTGCGATGGATACATGGGTTGTGTGCCAGCCTCCCCAGGCTGTGCCCAGGGTGTGCTTTGCTGCATGCCGGGGCAGCGCCCAATGTTTGCTGGGGCGAGCAGCTCTGCTGCCTGCAGGACCACCGCAGGTTAATGCCAGGAGGACCTCTAACATCATCAGCACCCAGCCTGGGTGAGACAGACCCCATTCATTGCACCTTCTGCTTTCAGACTGACACCAAACACTGTCCTTGGGAGACTTTTCCTTTCACAGCTATTTTACAGGCAACCCTGGTTTCCCACAAAATCCCCGGAGGTGTCTATCGGGGCCCCAAAACCCAGCACTGAGGCACCTCCCAGCAGGCAGCCCGGGCTCTACTTTCGCAGCGTGAGGGGGGCCCCATCCAGACCCCACCGGCCATGCACCGCAGCCTCTGTGCTCCCATCACCTCAAACCCCTCCTGGCAGGAGAAGGCACGGGTGGAGTTGAAGGCGAACATGCCATGCAGGTGGGAGCAATCGACCCGGCCCCTTTCAGGGGCACACGACGGCCACAGGCAGACGGGGCAGGCACCCTCCTCCCTCATGGTGCCTGCAGCACTGCCAGCCTCACTGCAGCAGGAGCCTCTACTTGTTTTTGGAGTAAACGCAGCTGGCAATGCTTGCTAATGCAGCTTTGTTATCACCAAAGGCAACCGACCAACTCATTTGATTCTTTGCTAAAAAGAAAAATCAATCATACATACAGCCAGCAGTAAAAAACAATGAGCTGGGAAAGTAAGCCGTTGGGAACTTCAAAAGCCTGGAGCAGGCAGGCTCAGCCCCAGCTTGCCTGGGGAGGACTTCCAAAAAATTGGGAACCAGCTACTGACCCTGCCACCGCTGGGGACTCTGACTACTGGACAGTCACATCGCATCTCCGTGCCTGTTCCCCTTAACTGCAGAGGGCTTTGCTGGTCTCAGCTGCCTAAAGCAAGCCCCAGGTTGTACCACAGGCCCACCCAGCACAGGCATCATCATCAGCACTAACTTCAAGGTTTTTTTTTTTTTTTTTTAAAATATATATACAGAGACCCTGCCCACCCCCAACCTTTCCCTCCTGGGTCTCCCAGAACAGGGAGTCCCCAGTTGTGTCCCATGTCTGCTTCAGTCCTGGACTCGTCTCATGCTTGTGCAAGGCTGCAGATGCACCATGCAGCAGCACAGGGAAGGTGGAGCAGAGCACACTCACCCCTCAAAAAATCCCAGCACCTCTCTGGGGTGCCAGGTGCCTGGCTGCAAACCCTTCAGCTGCTGACAGGAAACTTTCCTTGCCCCTGCAGCGTCACATACCACAACTTTCTCTCCTTTGTGGCTTCCTGCCCCACTCTGTCCCTCCCAGCTTATATCTAACCTCATCTCATGGGTCCTCACCCCTGCTTAAGGTGGCCCAGCCATGCCATGATACAGCCTTCCACCAGCTGTGGGACGGCAGCCCCCCTTTGCTCTTTTCTGAGGACCCTCAAGATGCCGAGCTTCTTCCCAAAGTAGATTGGGATGGGCTTGGGGAGATGGAGATGGTGCTACTGGGGTGATGGAGGTGCCAAGACACCATCCTGCCTGTGTGCTCTGTGCACACAGGGTGCTGGTGCCTGGGTGGGATTCAGGACAGTGAGTAAGAGCACTGGGACAGCTGGGAGAGCAGAGGGCTTATCCAGAGTTCACAGCGGCTCTGCCCATCGCAGCCTTATTGGGGAGCTGCTCCCCGCATACAGCACCGGGAGCTGCTTCCCCGAAGGGCAGGGGCACAGCAAACCCAGCCCATTGCTTGCCTGAGCAGCGTTGGGCACACAGGGCTGGCCCCCCCAAAGCATCAGTGCCACATCCCTGAGACCCCCGGCCCCTGGCAAGCCCTACCTGTGCATGTGGGGATGTCTGCTGACCACTGCTGGGAAGCCAGGCACCGCAGCGTGCCCACCCCTCGCCGCTCGAACCCCTCCTGGCACCCGAACACGCAGGTGGAGTTGTAGCTGAAGTCTCCATAGGGATGGCTGCAGTTCATGCGTGCTCCCTTGGGCTTGAGCTCGGTGCACCGCACAACTGGGAGGGATGCAGCACCACCAGCCCGTTAGGAGCACAACGAACTTGTGCTTTGCCGCCGGGGCTCAGACTCTCCAGCAGGGAGGGAGGGGTGGGGATGGATGGCTCACCGTCCTCGCACTCAGGGCCATGGAAGCCAGGGTAGCACTCACAGCGGTAGCTCCCGATGGTCTCCACACACTCGCCGCGCCGGCTACACGGGAAGGGCTTGCAGGAAGCTGCACACACAGAGGAGGGTCATCAGGAGCCACTTGCCACCCTGCCGAGGTCTCCAGCCCACCCAATGCAGGTCTATTCTGCAGTCTCCCCACTCACCCTGGTAGCACAGTGCCTTTTTCCTCCGGTTGCAGGGCTCGTCGTTCCACTTGCCCGACTCCCGCTGACGCTTGATGTAGATCTCCACGCAGTCCTGGTTGAAGCGGCGGTTGTTGGGCTCCCCGGCTGCCCAGTTCTCCGCCTCCTTCGTCAGCGCCTTCTTGGTGCCTACCCAGGTCCAGATGCCACTCAGCTTGCGGATGCCGATCCAGTAGTAGCGCCCGTGGAAGGGCAGGCTCTCGTTGAGGTACTCAATCTCCCGCTTGTTCTGGATTGCCACCAGGTCAGTGAAGAAGGTCTGGCAGTAGTTCCTGGCCTGCTCCCATGTGTAGTCCCCTTGGTCGCTGTAGTGGTACGTCCAGGCACCCACCTCCACCTGCATCACCATGCCTGCGAGAGAGGATGAGGTCCGCGATTGACGCAGAAAGGATGGGGGCCAGGTCAGGGATAGGATCCCTTGGGACATGAGGGTGGGCTAGGGCTGGCATCAGGGTCAAGAGATGCCAGCGACCAGCTGGACAAGGGGATGGGACAAAGGGACAAGTGTGGGTGAGAATGGGGCTCTAAGAGTACATGGAGATGTGGGTGGATCAGGCATGGCAGAAGCAGCTGAGGTGGCACAGAGGGGGATGGCACAGGGGTGAGGAAGGTGGGGGAGACAGGGTGAAGCCAAGACAGAGGGCAACATGGGATGGGGTGGGCAGAGTACAGGAGGAAGAAGAGACCCAAGTGGTGATGCCAACCCCTTCTCCAGCACAAGGGGTGAAAGCCCGGCCCCACAGCCCCGCTATCCTGCCTACAAAGGTTTCCCAAAGGGAAAAAACAACATCAAGAATGTTCCTTAAACATGGTTCCTTCCTTGAGTGCAGAAGTGTACCACTTCAGTTTTCTTGCTTTACACTTCTACATGAGAGTCAGGTTGGATCAAGGCAGAGCAACGAGCATACCCTCATCTCCAAAAGCATTTGGATCTCAAGCTGCTCATCTGAGCCAGAGATGGTCTGAGGAGTCTTGTAAAACTCAGTATTGCAAAATAAAGTATTGCAAAAGTCAAGTTCACATCCTGGTCATGCCCACCAGGCAGGGCAAAGCCAGAGATTAACTGGAACCCACACCCAGAAGCGAAGGGCACTTTGCTGAAACCCTGCTCTTATTTACAGCATTTCACACCACAACTTGATGCAATCAAAGGGTTTTAGCCACAAAAAAAAAGGTTCCTCCCTCCTCCCCAGGAGGGGCTGTCTCTACCACTGCAGAAAGTGATACAGGGATCATATCTCCATCTGTGCAGAAAGTGAGATGGGGATCAAAGTTTGCACCAAACAACTGGCCTGGGTTACCCTGTCTCTCAGGAGAGTGTATCACAATGTGGTCATGCAGGCAAAAGTCTGGACATTGCAGATTAGATGCAAATCTAGGGCTTCCCAAGTCTAATTAGGGCTTTAGTTTAGTCAATAATTATGGATTTTTCTAAGCAAAATTCCCATAATTTTTCTGGTTTTTTTCCGTGTGAAAGAGCAAACCATCCACTTTGTTCAACAAAACTGAAGCTGAGAAAAACGTGGCCTTCAACAGCAGCCCCCCTTTTCACCCCTTGGGAGTTTGGGGCTGCAGGACAGAAGCTCAGGGCACCCCCTGGGAGCCTGCCCCACCCTCAGCTCCCACCACCCACCTCTTGGCCCTCGCTACCTGCCCAGCACAGCTCAGGGCAGCCACCCTGCTACCCTCACACACCCCGTCCCCAAACTGAGAAGGGCCAAGGGAGCCCAGCCACTACATGCCAATCCTCTGCAGACTCTCCTGCATCTTTCCTCCAGCTCCATCACCCTCTCTGTAGCACAGCTCATCCCCACTCCTTCCCCTCAGCCTTATGTTACCTCTCCCTGCCCCACCTGGAGCTGAACCCCCAGGTGGGTGCTCTTTGCCTGCCTTTCCACCCCTCGGCTCCCCTGGCAGCCCCCGACACCTCTCCCCAGGGTGGTGCTCAGCACCCACTGCCCTCAGGGTGCCTTTGCATTTTTGTTTTCCTCTCAGAGCTAAATCTCAGCCTCCTCCTGACACTTCTGCATTTGCCTCTGTTCCTCAGCTCAACCACAAAAGGTCCTTTGGAAAATAACCCAGCTTACGAAGGATCTCTAGTGACAGAGCAGGCACCGGCATGTTTTGCTCTGTGCAATGCCAACATGCGAAGAAAATATCCTACAGGCAGCAATACCAAATTAGTTTCTACTCTGATTTCTTCTCCTGATGTCAATTAGCAGCTTTAACTCTGCGTGGTGCTGCCCCAGCTGTGCTCCCAACCCTTGCACCCATGGGTCCTGTGGCTACGTCTGTGCCCAGCTCCGCAGCGTGGGCATGGGCGTAGGCAGGGTTAGAGCTGCTGCTGCTTTTCTCCAATTCATGGGACGATGCACCAGCTGTCATGCTGAATTTGGGGAACCAGCCACCGTGTGGGGACCTCACGGGTGGCCTGACTCTCCCCAGGGAAGCATGGTCGTGTGATGGGTCTGGCTGGATGGAGCTGGCCCAGGCAGATACAGCCCCCTCCCAGCCCAGAAGGATCCAGCCCTGGGGCTGGCAGCCATGGGGGTGTGACTGATGAGCCCCCAAAACAGCATTGCTGCCCTTCTCCAGTTTCCCAGACCTGCAGGCTCCTCAGCAGCAGGGTCACGCTGGGCTTACCAAGCGGGCGGCGGGCGGCTTACCCCATGCGATGGCAGCGATGCCCAGGTAGCAGATGCCATGACAGCCCAGAGCCCATGTCCTCCCAGCAGACTGCAGTCCCGCAGCAGTGCCCTGCATGCCAGGGAGGGAGGCGTCAGCATGCACGTCCCATGGGGGCTCACCCACCCCGCCGTGCACCCACACC